ATTTACTTTTTTTCTTCACACACACACACACACACACACACACACACACACACACACACACACACACACACTTTCCTTTCCCTCTCTCTTTCTCTCTCCTACACCAAGTTCTTCATTTATCTTATTATCCTTCTTCTTCCACTCACTCTTTCTCTCTCTCTCTCTCTCTCTCTCTCTCTCTCTCGCCTTCTTATTTATTCCTTTTTTGAACCCTCTCTTTCCCCCCCATATCGCACACGTTTCTCTTACAAACTCTGGATGTCAATTTGTTGTCAAATTAGGTCCGTACTTTTGAATGTTTTCCAAATACACTGATGGAAAATAGACTTGTAAAATCCTGAAGGACGCCACCAACTGCAGATAATGCTCGCTAATGGCGAATAATTAGTCCGATCAGGTCGTATGAGCATATTTGTTTTGGCTTCCGTAGGGGGGTTAATGGTTATTTCTGGTGTCAGTGTCTATTGTACAAGTCCACTACTAAAAAAAAAAGATGGGGTTGGGGAGAAAAAGGTTAAGACAAAATATATTCTTCCCCGTAAAATGGTGAATAGAAAAATATATATAAAAAACAACAACAAATAAAAATGTAACTGTTTATCGTTCCGCGCACTTCAGAGATCAAGCAAGGACAAAACATATATGTGCTACGGAGAATCAACTGTATAATCATTTGGTAGTAATTGTATTTGTCTCCTACAATGAAAAATTTTATACTTTGGACTCGATTGGGGCTGAAATCGAGGATCGTAACTGTTATACGGTTTCGTACTATTTGTATCCTGTTTGTCTGTTTGGTATCCTCTTCTGTTCCGTTTGATATCTCTTCTGTTCCGTTTGGTATTTTATTTCCGTTTGGTATCCTCTTGTGTTCAGTTTGGTATCCTCTTCTGTTCCGCTTTGGACTCTTCGATCCTCTTTGTTCCGTTTGGTATCCTCTTCTGAAGAGCGTGGATCTTCTGTTCCGTTTGGTGTACTATTCTGTTCCGTTTCGTATCCTCTTCTGAGTTTCAGTTGTTCCGTTTCGTATCTGTTCGTTTGTTCCTGTTTGGTGTCCTCTTCTGTTCCGTTTGTATCCTCTTCTGTTCCGTTTGGTATCCCTCTTCTGTTCCGTTTGGTATCCTCTTCTGTTCCGTTTGGTATCCCTTGTGTTCAGTTTGTGTTCCGTTTGGTATCCTCTTCTGTTCCGTTTGGTATCCTCTTCTGTTCCGTTTGGTATCCTCTTCTGTTCCGTTTGGTGTACTCTTCTGTTCCGTTTGGTATCCTCTTCTGTTCCGTTTGGTATCCTCTTCTGTTCCGTTTGGTATCCTCTTCTGTCTTCCCAATTCTGTTCCGTTTGGATTCTGTATTGTTTGTTTCCTATTCTGTTCCGTTTGGTATGCTTTTCTGTACCCTTGTACTCTTCTTTTCCGTTTGGTATCCCTTCTGTTCCTTGGAGTACACTTCTGTTCCGTTTGGTATCCTCTTCTGTTCCGTTTGGTATTCTCTTCTATTCCGTTTGGTATACACTTGTGTTCCGTTTCTTCTGTTCCGTTTGGTATCCTCTGTTCGTTTGTTCCGTTTCAGTTTGGTGTATCCTCTTCCGTTCTATTCGTTTCCGTTTGGTATCCTCCTCTTTCTGTTCCGTTTACTCTTCTGTTCCGTTTGGTATCCTTCTGTTCCGTTTGTTCTATTTTGGTATCCTCTTCTGTTCCATTTGGTATCCTTTTCTGTTCTGTTCTGTTCCGAGTGTACTATTCTGTTCCGTTTGGTTTAACGTCCGTAAGCAAATGTTCCGTTTGGCATACTCTTCTGTTACTGTTCTGTTCAGTTTGTATTTCTGTTTTCTTGTTTGAGCCAGCAGTTGTTTTGTTTAACGTTGTTCTGTTAAACTGTTTTATTGTGTCAACTTTTCTAAGCCATCATAATTTTGTGTGCTTTTCTAAACCGTTTTAAGTGGGTTTACTATTCAGAGCCGTTATAAATTGATTTACTGTTGTCAGCAGTTTCAATTCGGTTCACTATTCTGAGCAGTTTCATCTCGGTTTTGCGTTCTCAGCAGTTTCAGTTCGGTTTAGTGTTCTGAGCAGTCTCAATTTGGTTTGCTGTTCAGAGCTGTTATAATTTGGTTTACTGCTCTAAGTAGTTTCAATTCGGTTTACAATTCTGAGTAGTTTAATCTTGGTTTAGTGTTCTGAGCAGTTTTAATTCGTTTTAGTGTTCTGAGAAGATGAATTAGATTTACTATTCAGAGCCGTTATGATTTGGTTTACTGCTCAAAGCAGTTTCATCTCGGTTTAGTGCTCTGAGCAGGTTAAATTCGGTTTGCTGTTCAGAGCCGTTATTATTTGGTTTGCTGTTTTGAGCAGTTTCAATTCAGCTTGATGTTCTGAGCAGTTTCAATTGGTTTACTGTTTTGAGCAGTTGTGCCTCATTTTAGTGCTACGTTTGTCATTATAATCCTGGCTCTGTTTTAGTTTGAATGTTATAGTTTTCATTAATCAACTTATCTCAGAGGACGTGTCATTCCAGTAACTTAAGAAAACCTTTATAGAACAATTCGAAATCAGCGTTCTCGATATAATCAAGTACAACAATTCCTTCTTATTATTTATTCTCTTTTTATTATTTTTAATTAATTTACTTCTTTTTCTTTCTGACTTCGCTATTTATCGCTTTGTACTAGAATTTCTTGAAAAAAAAATCCTTTCTTTTTCCTTGACTCAATTAGCCTTTATTCTGTTATCATATGAAAATCGCTCTGAAATTAGAGCCTCTTACTTTATTACACTCGTAGTCTATGAGATCAAAGATGGATTTCGATGGTGTGGCAGAACAGATTGAACCTTTTCGCCCTTAACTTTTACATTTGTTTTGCTTTGTTACAGACAGCAGTCTGGCAAAATGACTTCTGATATGTAGGAAGCACTCCATGCGGAAAAAGAAAACTACAGCCCATTTATATTCTTCGATACTTGCTGAACGCTTACGGAAACCAAAGAGCGGATGTGAGCACAGTTAGGCGTTTCAGCAGTATTGGCAGCAATGTGTGTGACAAGTTCCAAGTGCGCTGGCAAAAAGGCGAATAAAGGCGATGATTTACTCCATGTATCTGTTGTCGCTTCTGTGGAGACATCTAGAAGGTATTACTTTTGAAGCGTTCTTCGTTGTTTTTTTTTTAATATAATTCTGTTAATCTACTATTTATTCTGTTATTCTATTATTACTTTTAGTTTGGTCTTTTCTCTATTTAGCTAAAAATTTAATTGTCTTTTAAAGTAAGCCTTTTGTTGCCTTTTCTTTTTCCACTTCCTTCTTTTAGCCACAAATGTTCTTTCAGCGTTTTCCTTTTTATTTCAGTTCTCTTTTCTCCTTCTCTTTTTGTCTTTGTAATGTTTTTTTTTTGACAGATTACTCAGCTCATTGAATTGTAAACGAATTTGGTCCGGAAATGCAAGTCCCCGATCTTACCATTTGAAACGCAGCCAGTCATGGCGTCTCCATGAAAATACGTGTTCCTGCAGTCCAGTGTTTTTTCTTTCTTTTTTGCAGAGCCCATTGCGTATCTCCGTTCTTTGGTTGGTAAGTAACCGAGCTAGCAATACAGAATGCATATCTTTTATTTTTTTTTTATAAAGTATTTCATTTACTTTTTATAAAGTATCTCTTCCCGAGGAAACATACGTAGACACAGACTCATTTATTACCTTACACAGCCAAGCACAAAATTTCTATCTTACAGCTTAGGCTATGACAAGCCAAGACCAGCTATGACTAGCTTAGACCAGCTCTGGCCAACTTGGACAGGCTATGACCAGCTTAGACCAGCGGCTGTTGACCATGTTTGCCGTCGTCTCTGAATATGGAATCCAGTGAAGTCCGTAATGTATTCAATATCAGAGTTTGGCAGTGAAGATTCAGGGAAAGTAGCGGCTGTTAAGCAATTCTTTACGTCTTCGATATCAGGTTGGCAGTGAAGATATTTTTGGGAGAAAAAACAAAAATGGCTACCTTTATACACGTCGGATTGAATATTTTGAGCTTTCTGATTGGTTAACTCTTCTCTTGGTGGACTATAAAATGAGTCAGCTCATTTTGGCTAGCTCACTAATACATACATACCCCAAAAACTGCAACAGCGGCCCGAATGAAAAAGCTCGGGTCCCTACGTTAAAAACTGACCTTGTGTCACAACCTGACTTAGTGGGAGGTCAAGTAAATATCCTTACAGCTTATCTTGGCATTCCATTTAAACTAAATGAAACCTACGCTCGTTCAGTTCGGAGACTTTTACTTTTACATCTCATATTTCTCAGATATTCTCCTTGTAAAATTAATGAAATTGTAGAATATAAACATCGACTGAATTTTTTTACACTATTTAAATTGTTCGGGCTGTTGTCCTCGTCTTTGTTCCGGCCGTTGTAAGCTCCGGCCTTTTTCCGGTGATTGGAATTTCGAACCGAACACTTTATTTCGTCCACCGGGGTAGATTGTTCTAGTTCCAAGTGCCATGCCTCTTTCGGATTTATCTCACTACCAGTTATTTACCCTTTAACTCAACTCTTCAAGGTTTTATTCACTACTGCTGTGGCCAGATATTGAACTCTCAATTTTTTGTGGGCCAAGTCCCTGGATTACTTCAACCTACTTTATCCAAGGGGTCATGTGGAACTAAAACAATCTACCCCGGCGGACGAAATAAAGGGTTCGATTCGTAATTTCGATCACCTGAAGAGGGTCGGAGCGTACAACAGCCGAAACGTCATGAATATGGCAACAACGTTGAGGACAACAGCCCGAGCAATGTAAATAGGGTGAATAATTAAAATACCTCATCTCAGAAATATAGACAGATCCTGAAGAAGGCTGGAGTGTACAACGACCGAAACGTCGTGAATATGGCAACAAAGATGAGGACAACAGCCCGAACAATGTAAATAGTGTAAATAGGTACAAGTTCTCATTTTAGAAATATAGACTGATCCTGAAGAAGGCTGGAGCGTACAACGGCTGAAACGTCGTGAATATGTCAACATAGATGAGAACAACAGTCCGAACAATGTAAATAGTGTAATTAGTTACAACTTCTCATCTTAGACATATAGACGGATCCTGAAGAAGGCCGGAGCGTACAACGTCCGAAACTTAGTGAATATGGCAACAAATATGAACGGTCCAAACAATGTAAATAGTGTAAATAATTACAATACCTAATCTCAGAAACTGAATTTCTTATTTCGATATTTCAAGAATACAAGAAAAAACATCCGAATGAAGGAGGGCCATCTTTTATCTTGAACATATTTGTCTATTCTAGAACTTTCTGTTTGTTTTTAACCGAGCAGGTGTATTAATTGAACAATATTATATTTATTTTAGAAACAGTCGACATTCATTGGCCGAACAGCCAGTGCGACTTTCGGTCGAAATTTAAAAAATCTTTCTGTTGAAACAATTTTTTAGGAAAATGTGTTTCTTAAGTACAGTAGCTGTTATCGCTCTTTCAGTATTAATGAGTTTTTTTTTTCCTAACCTTTTGTTTGGAGTAATGTGGAATGTCAACATCTTGATTATGTCTTAATTTTCTTTTCGCGTTACATGTGCTATCCATTTTAGTTCTTGCTGCTGTTGAAAGTCCTGAAGTGATGAGGGCTGCTATTTGGTACAGTTTTTTTGTAGTTCTGTAGCGTCAGTCCACAAGGTTTAAAGAAGGTTGCTATTAGCCAAGGTTCACGGGTTTCACTCGCTCAAAGCAATTTTAAACATTGATCTGAGAAAGCGGTTGTGTACAGCTGACGGTTTAGATATTTCTGAATTGGTTTGCCGCCATGTATGAAATCCATTTTAAATTCCAGTTGTGACGAGTGTGTTTATGAACATGACGCGAGTTTCAGGTTAATGTTTTGGTTTTGTAGCAATTGAAGGTGTTGGGCAAAACTATCCCTAGCGTAGCTTATTCTATGATCAATTTAATTTTCTCCCGTGCTTAATTTGTTCGTGGAACAAAATGGCACGTATGTGATTAAATATATCTTTGTACATAGCGTGTGTAACAGCAAAATTGTTCAAATGGTATAACAGCATGAGATAATTGTCTATCCCACAAAATGTTTAATATCTAAACAGCCACTAAACTAAATGGGTTTCTTTTCTCTATTTTTCAGATAAGACGTTTAGCCATCTTGACACCATTTTGTCGTCTGAATCACTGAAAAACTTTTTGAGTTATTCAGCTAAAAAGACAGCTGGTTAAAATTGATTTTTGCCACCCCCAGTATGTCTTCCCAACTGAGCAATGGTGAGAGGAAAAAGATCATTCAATACTTCAGTAATGGTATCAATATTCATACTCTGGGTTCCATTTTCAAAGCCTATTCAAGAACCATCAAGAGAACGGTGAATAAGTTTAAAAAGATGGAACAGTAGTAAAGAAAACTAGATCGGGAGGTCACAGCAACAAGAGTGATTATCATTTCAGTTTAGAGCTAAATACATTGTTATTGTTCAAAGTAGAGTCCAATAGTGTTATAAAAACATCGGAGAATTCCAGTAAGATATCTTTAATCATTTCTAAGGTAGAACGGTTCAAAGTTTAATCTAACAATTGGACAATTTTGCTGTTACACGATTTGGACAATTTTGCTGTTACACCCGCTATACAAATATTTATGGAAAATACCATTTATTTAGCAATTCTTTACTAAATTAATAGCGGACATATTAAAAAGCAATTTAAAGCTAAAAAACAAACATCACGAACAAAAGTAGGATTGT